AAAAAAAAAAAAAAAAAACCCTTCTTTCTCCCTCATCTCCCTTCCAAGGCCTTCCTCCAACCCCTTCCACCACCTAGGCCAACAACACTGTGGCGCCACCCCCACCACCACCACCACCATCACCACCACCACAAACCACAAAACCCCCACAACTTGACAACCAACATATAACTCGACCCCCCAACCACGACCCTACCTCGAATCCACTTCAGCCACCGCCGCTGAAAAACCACCACCGCCACACCAATTCAGCCACCACCATCCCACCACCACCCAAACCCAAACCCTAGAACCACCATCCCGCCAGACCCGAAACCACCAGCCAACCCAACCCCAAAACCCCATTAACCCAAACCCAGCCAACCTCAAAACCATTCGAAAACCCACCAAACAAAACCCGACATTGGGTTCGACATGAAATCGGGGCAGGGAGTTCGACGCGACTTGAATCAGAGGATGGGGGAGGTCAGCGATGCCGGAATTGGGGGATGGGGTTAGTCAGCAAGGTCGAAATTTTTGAGGGGGGGTGGGTTTGGCTTAATGGGGGAGTTTAGTGATTATTTCTCTCCGGAATAATCATCCAAATCTTCCATGATTTTTCTCACTTTCTCTCTCTAATTGATGTTGACTGTGGTTGGAGATGGTGGTAGTGGTTGTAGGTGGGAATTGCGAAGCTAGAGGCGCTGCTTTGGGTAGTGACGGTACTGTAATTAATTGAGGTTGATGCAGGGGATGCATGGTTGTTGCTGTTGTAGTTGTTGCGGTGGTGATTGGAGGTGGTCTGGGTGTGGGAATGCGTGGGAGTTGGAGTTGGTGATGCGGTGAGGTGGCGAGCTGCTTGTTGTGTTTGGTGGATGGTGGTTGAAATGGTGGTGGCGTTGTGGGGGCGTGAAGTGGTGCTGCATGGGTAATTGAGAGGAGCAGGGGAGGTATATTGGTGTGAATGGTGGAACAGGGTATTAGCAGGGAAGGTGAGTTTCGTTGGTTTCGACCATAATTAACGTTTTTTTAACGGAAAGGGTACGATAGGTATTTAGGGAAAAGTTTAGGTGTACCGGTGAAAATGAAAGTTTAATGAAGTGTATCATTGAGAAAAGCCCGAAAAAAGGAGAAGTTCAAGAAAAGAAAAAGAAAAAAAAGAGCAAAAAGACAAATAAAATGTTTAATGTTCAAATGCTCTAAGTGAGGGTTGATCAAAAGAAGAAAAAAATGAGTTCCAAAGGGGGAAAAAAAATTCAAGTTGAAAAAATTTTCAAGGTTTGTTGATTCACTCAAATTCTACATTATTATATTTTTATGAGTGAAATTGTAAGTGTTGGGAAATTTTAATATGATTGAAATTGTTGTCTCATGAAATTTTGGTGGAGTTGAGTTGTGTTGGGGATGATTGGTCATTATTTATTTTTGACCTTGGTTTTATTCGTTAAGTTTTAGCTCCCTAAAGCATAGCTTTACCCTCACATTTTCCCAAATTTATCCTACCTTTACCTTAGCCTTACATTACAAGCTTTAAAGACCTTCCAACCTTTGTGCATAGAGTTGTATGAATGTGAAATTAGTTGTTTATCAATGCGAAGAATGATTTGACATATTTCGAGTCGACTACTAGGTTGAGTGCTTGTCTTTTTAAACGCACGAGTGTTATGAGTTTGGGAAGGCATTGTTCACAATAAAGGGGTTGCATGGATGGAGAGCGATCAGATACATTTTATATCCGCCACATAAAAGAGTGAAGAGTGTGTGAGCACTAGTCATGAATTCCATATATACTTGTGGTTCGCTTTGTTTGACAATTGTTAGGGAGGATTAGTAGTTGGATGGAATTGTTGGTTGACTTTGATGCATATTTGTTGGAGTTGCCTTGAATTGATTATGCTTAGTTTTAGTTAATTTTCGGGTGAAGTATGTTTTATTTGTTCATTGATGAGATCCTTGCTTTGGAACAAGCAAAGGTTTGGCTTGGGGAAGTTTGATGTGTCCATTTTATATAGTGATTTCCCCCTGTCCCGTGGTCATATTTAGGAGTATTTTTGGCTTTATAGAGCTATTTTTATTATTAATATGAGTTTCCTAGTGTTTTCACAGCTTTGGTATTGTTTTATAGGAAATTGCTGATTTTGAACATTTTCCTAGGCTTATTTGAGACACTACGAGCATTGGATTAGGATCGCGTACATATAACCACATTCCATAGCCCAAGACCGCGTTGGAGTAATCAAACCAATGATTAAGGGCTCGGCGAAGAAGAAGAGACCGAGGCAATGGATCAAGTGTTAAAGACCCAAAGAGGAAACCCAGATTCGGCGAAGAAGAAGCCCAATCGAAGACTCCATATTGCCCGGATACTCGCCCGACCGGGGATGCCCTCGCCCGAATGTGTGCCTGACCGGGTGCGAGGAGAGGAGTTCCCCACTGAAGGCGGGCCCGACTGGGCGAGATGGTGCCCGACCGAGCACGTGTCATTGAGGAGCGATTAGCGACGATTTTTACTTTGTTTTTTTTTTTTTTTTTTTTTTAGAAGAATTTAGGATTTCTTAGCTTAGTATAAATACGCTTTTGTTAAGCGAGACAATTACGTCATTCATTAGTTAATTTCCAAATTTTAATTTTAATCTTTTGATTAATACTCTTGTTCTCTCAATTCTTTTGGTTTATGTAATTCAATATTTCTGTTTATTTTAGTAACGATTTCTTTCCCTTTTATTTTTCAGTAATTTAGTTGCTTGTTTAATCATGTCTAGTTTTATTGCTTTGGTTAGTTTAAATTTCAATATGTGTGAGTAGTTTATTTCTAAGGGTTTGTGGGGATCCATAAATAATATGAAGGGGTAATTTATTATTGTTGATTGTCAATGCTTTGATTGATTTCCTATTGATTGATTTACTGCTATGCAATTAGATTAGGCCTGATTTAATTGTATAAGTTATGCAATATTGATTCGAGATTCGACAGATGAGAATTGATGTTTAGGCTTAGTTTTAATAGGCAGGTTAATTTATAAATGGTTAAGTCAAGATTCGAGAGATGCGATTTAATACCGTTAAATTAATTTTGTTATTGTAATACGTAGAGAAGGCCCTTTATGATCTGCTTGATTGATGCATTGATGATTGATTATTGTGTTTTACCCTAGAATATTATTTATTAGTGAACCTATACCCTAGGCTTTGATTTATTGATTTCTCCTTAGTTTAATTTGCTTTAGTTTATTTTTTGTCTTTAGTTTAATTCTCACAATAATAACTTGGTTACTTGATAGTTTAGATTATATTAATTATTTAGGAATAGAAAGACATTGTTTCTATGTGGATTCGACCCTACTTCCCTATCTGCTTTAGTTAGTGGACTTAGGTAATTCTTTTGATTAGGCGATACGACTAGAACCTGTCAGACCACCGCTTGTGGCAACCGCCATGGCTGCGCCACCCAGCCGCGGTTGTCACAAAAACATTTTTTTTTTGTTTTTATTTTAATTATATAAATTTGTAAAATTAAAATAAATGTGGTCCATGATAAAATAAAACATAAATTTTTATGCTAATTTATCACATTAAAACCAAATTCATAATCCAATTTTAATTCTAGGGTTCTTCATGAAAACTAATCCCCAATTTAACTCTTAATTAAATCATTGATCATGCAAAATTCACAATTTATACATGAAATCAACTAGATTAAATACATGAAGCATAAAACAATCGAAATTATTCAAAAACCAAAACACAAAATCATAATTTTAGTGTTTAGGGTTTCGAATTTTTTTTTCTCGGATCTAAGGTTAGGGTTTTCAAAAATTTCAAAAACTCTACGGTATTTTCGGTCCAAATCTACATAATTCATATCTTTGACGTGTGATTTCCACGTTGCGATTGACTGTCAATTAGGGAGATAATAGAGCCCCAAGCGTTGCTCCTCTACTTAATCCACGGGATAGGATTGAACCTCCACTACTGCTAGATAGTCAAGTACGAACACTTCGAACCACCTTCTACGGAGAGGGAAGGAGAAAACCGAGCCACGAACAACCACGACCACCACCGTGCATTACACGCGCCACTAGCGTGTGCGAACGTGAGGGGAGAGGAGAGAGTGAGTGCGTGAGGCTTTAGTGTTTGGTTGCTAGCTTGTCTATTCTCAATTGACTGCTAATTATGTTCTATATCAAACCCTAGGCAAGGTCTCTATTTATACATCACATGTATAATTAGAGTCCAAACCAAGCCCACACAATTCCCTCTTTAATCTCATATGGCTGGCCACTCCATAAGGCCCAATAATGGGCTTTTTTCTTTTTGTTCAATGCATCACCCTTTTGTGTGACCTTATAGGATCCATTCTATTGGGTTTTGGATATTTGATTAGCCCAAAGATCATTGATCACGTCTACCAACAGATAATGACGACCCAAAGGAACGAACTTAATTATTTCCATAATTTGATCCATTATATATCTAGTAATTGCACTTGACAAAGACATAAATCATTCAGGGGTTACTTGGTTAGGAGTTATTCGGTTAATCAGGAGTTATTCACTCGGTCAAGGGTTCCTTGGTCGAGGGTTACTCGATCGGTCAAAGATTACCCGATTGCTCAAAGGTTACTCGATCACTCAAGGATTATTTGGTCACTCAGGATTTACTCGGTCGGTTAGGGGTTTAGTTAGGGGTTACTCGATTGATCTGGGATTACCTGGTTAGGGATTACTCGTGTGTCAGCCGACCACACGGTGTGGCCAGCCACACAGAAAACGAGCCGATGAAATTAAGATGGATCAATTGAATAGCATTAGATAATATGTGTGGAGCATAAAGAAAAAATTACAGAGTACTTTGTAAAATCAATGGAGTAAAAGTATGCAAATAAATACTCCATACTTCGCAATAGATATACACAATATAGTCAACATTAGATTATGACGTGATAGAGTTTAACCTACATGTAACATGGATAAAAGAAGTAAGTACAAGACCACATGTTTTGTAATCCTCGAATAATTCTATTAATCCTCGAATAATTCTATCAATCTTCGGCTGTACAAGTCAAAATTCAAACTCCGTAAAACAGAACTCGTCAGTGTTTCCAGATACTTCTTCCTTCATCCCATCAATAAACTCATCTCATCATAAAACAGCACACAAAACAGCTAAACACAAACAAAACCCAGAAATCAGAAGAGAGAGAAAGATGTCGTGCTTGTTTTCCTGCTGCGCATCTCTTGCGTGCGGGTGTTGCACATCAGTAGCATCTGGGATCACAAAGAAGTCTGCTCGTATTGCTTATTGTGGTCTCTTTGGTGCTTCTCTTGTTATTTCCTGGGTTCTTCGAGAAGTCGCTTCTCCTTTGCTGCAAAAAATTCCCTTGTATGTGTTTTTCCCATTTTTACTCTTCAATTTCATCTGGGCATCTCTCATTTTCCTTCAATTATTCTTAAATTACAATTTTTTATTAATTCGTTGGTTTTTTTGGGTTTAATTTGTTGTTAATTTTATGGGTTTTATGCTGAAATTTGGTGTTGATTGCTCAATTGGTTGAATTGTCTTTTTTTCGCTGTTGATTTTGCAATTTGTTGTTGAAATTTGTAATCTTTTTAATGGTCATTGATTGGGTAAAAGTGGGTAAGAAGTAGTTTATGGGTATGGAAGATTTAGTCTTGTGAGATGGAAACTTTTGTAGAAGAATTAGCACAATTTTGGTGGGATTTTAGTTGATGATAATAGTCTTCTTATGTTGCAAATGGTATAAATATAGCTGCTAACTTAGGCATAAAGAAAGCAACATGCTAAAAAAGCGGGGTTATACCCTTAGGTAGGCTATCACTATCGGAAGAATTTGAGTTATGCTTGAGCTAATGCAGTTTGGAACAATAGTTTCTGCATTGTGACAGAAGAATGGTTTCGCGGCATGGATTTGCATATTTGATCAAATGATCCGTTATATTGTAGGCGATAATTCTAACTAAAGCCATCTTATAAGATCAGGTTACTTTCTGTAGGAAGTTCAAAATTTGAAATTTTCATATTATACCTGATAATACAATTCCCCACTTATGGGATTAAGGCTTTGATTGATTGATATTCAGAACTTGAAGCAAAGATTAATCTTTGGCATGATTGGGAAGTTAACTTCAAATAGGGAAGGTTAGTTATGATAATCTATTCAATATCTTATAAATGAATTTTTATCAAATACGAAGTATTTATTAGGAATATATGGATGATCTTTTATATATCTTGGCTGTGGCCGGTGGGTTGCAGATATAGAGCTGTTTTCAGAAGTGCAGGCATAGTGAAGCAGGAATTGTAAAACTTAAGAGGTGAACCCGTAATTTAAACTTAATTATGATCTTCTCCAATAGTTGACCAACTGGTGGTGGGTTTTGTTTGGCATTAGTAGTTTTTTTGTTTCCTGGCCACCAATAATTGGGTTGAGTAAACCCTTTCCCCCTTTTGCACCCTTGAGTGGGGCACTTTTCTCAAAATGCAGGCTTTGCAAACAAGACTTTTCAGAATTCAGCACACGGGTTGGTGGATTTATGGTGAACCCAAGAACGGGGTTGGTTGAAGTAGAACATTTTTAGGGTAAAGAATATGCCAACAGTTTTTTTGGTTGCACCTATACAAATGCACACTCTATTATGACTGTCTTTGGTGATGGGATCTTGTTAGATGCACCTCAACATATACTTTCTGTTTATCAACTCTGTAAAAATTTTACTTTTTAACAACTATATATATTAATGGTTGAATTATGCATTAACAAGTGTGAAAATAAAATGTTGCAACTATCAAAAACGGGGAAAGTATATGGTGACACTGGAAGTCTGGAAGAAAGTAGGAACAACAAGATATACGTGACAGGTGTAAGCAACCACAAAATTTTTCATATTATACTTGATGAATTTACTGACTGAGAACTTGAAGCAAAGGATTAATCTTTGGCATGATTAAGAAGTGAAACTTCAAATTGTGAAGGTTAGTTATGATATTTCTATTGAATATCTTTTAAGCAAATCTTTATCAAATAAAGCAGGAGTATTTAAGGATGTATGAAGTATCAAGAGCTCATATCAGGGTTGTAGGCATAATGATGCGGGAATTAAAAATCGTAAGAGTTGAACCTGTAATTCTAACTCTATTAGGATCCTTTCTCATAATTAAGCAGCTGGCGGCGGGGTTCCTTTGGCACTAGTAGTCTTTTGTTTCCTGGCCACCAGTAGTTGGGATGAGGAAACCCCCTCCCCTACTATGACTATGTTTGATGACTTAAAGAAAAACATAGTCATATGAGATCTTGTTAGATTCATCTCAACATATACTTTCAAACTTTCAAACTGTCAACTTTGTTAAGTTTTTTTAATTTTTTTAATTTTTTTATTTATCAATAACTAAAGATTAATGGTTGAAGTTGTGCATTGACAAGTGTGAGAATAAATATGTTGCAACTATATAAAAAAAATTAAAAATAAACGGAGGAAATATTTGATGATACTGTAATACTGGAAAAAAATAGGAACAACAAGAAACATGTGGAAGGTGAAAACAACCACAAAATTTCATGTAGGTCTAGGAAATGTGAAGAGTTATATCTGTATCCAGCAAATTGTTGGCATGTATGATGTGCATGTTGAGGACTTAATTTTTTGCTTGAGATAGCAGATGTGAGCTAGATATAATGTCTGGATGCCTGCTGAATGAACTTTGTGTGTTAGATCTGTATCTGACATATCAAATTGATTTGGCCTTGAAGGGATTAACAATGCTGATCACACAAAAGAGTGGTACCAGACTAGTACAGTTCTTCGGGTCAGCTTGGGAAATTTCCTGTTTTTCGTGGTGCTTGCCATAATAATGATTGGTGTGAAGGACCAGAACGATCGACGTGATTCTTGGCATCATGGAGGATGGATTGGGAAGATGATTATTTGGTTTCTACTTATCGTGCTCATGTTTTTTATGCCAAACGTCATCGTAGATATATATGGTAAGCTCTTTATGTTGCACAAAATTTTATAATATCTTTTGTCTTCTGATATATACTTGGCTGGATTTTCATATCATTTTACTTTCATTATTTCAGCAAACTTATTGTTGCCTTTCAAGTCTTTTCATAACTCTTCTAAAATATCAAGTCATTTAATTCCCTAATCTTAATTAAAATTATAGTAACGGAAGATCTGTCAGAAAAAGTTTTAAAACCCTGTCAACTATAAACCGGAAAAAGGATGAATTTACACATGAAAGTAGTACATTTTAGCCTAATTTACAAAACTGGGGAGTAAAATTTTTATACTCAATCTTGTATTTGCAAATTACTCCCTCCGTATTTTATTACTTGCTCCATTTCTCCGGACACGGAGTTTTAGGAGAATTAGTAGAAAGTATTATTTTATGATGTGGTTGAATGAAGAATAACAAAATCTGAACAAGCAAAAGTGAGTATAAGTGGGGAGAAGAAAGAATATAAAACATATTAAAATATGATATGAGGGGACCACTAGTGGAGAGTAAAATAGTATAATATTGTTAAAAGTTTCCAAAAAAAGGAAATGGAGCAAGTAATAAAATACGGCTGCAAAAGGAAAGCGGAGCAAGTAATAAAATACGAAGGGAGTAAGAAATAGTGGAATCTGGAATGTCTACTGTGAGACTTGATCAAGTTTTTACGTTTTAAATTTGTGTAACTTCTCGAATGCTGATTAAAAGGGTATTTAAGTAAATTGTGTATTCTTTTGTGGAGAAATGCGCATGTTTGTCAGGATAAGCCAAAACAAAATGGTCTGTCTAGGGGCACATCCAGTGATAACAGGGTGTAGAGTTGGCATGCATTGTGCTGTCTGTTTCACAATTTTATCTTAGCATTCCTCTGTACTTTGTAGGTATTCTGTCAAAATTTGGCGCAGGACTATTTTTATTGGTTCAGGTTATTTTACTATTGGATTTCACTTACACATGGAATGATGCTTGGGTTGAGAAAGATGAGCATAAATGGTATACTATTCTGAATTAGCAGTAAAGCTGTTACTTTTCTGTGATATTCTTGTCTGAAGAAAATTTTATTGATTTTTCAGGTACATGGCTTTGCTTGCAGTATCAGTAGGTTGCTATATTGCTGCTTTTACTTTATCCGGAATTTTGTTCATTTGGTTCAACCCTTCTGGCCAAGACTGTGGCCTCAATGTGTTCTTCATTGTGATGACCATGATACTTGCTTTTGCATTTGCTGTCATTGCTTTGCATCCAAAGGTGAGGGTCATGCTATCTCTTTCTGTTTAATCATAAGGCAGTTAATTTTGGCCTCTTTGGCCCTTCCTTACATTGTACATTTAATTCACTTTGTTATATGTTGTTTGGTTAATTCTGGCATCAAAGCTTCATGTGCTAACTCAAAGGACACAATGCTGACAATTATAGGATTGAGACTGGCTAACTGGAGATGGCAGAGATAATATGTCAAACTAATTTTCTTTTCTGTAAGCTTAGTAAATATTAAGGCAACTATGATCTTATTTTGGGTGTCATATGCACATTGTTAGCAACAATAAGTTCTTCTAAGCGATTCCATAGTTAGGAAAGTTTTATGGAAGAAAAACCTAGCACAATATGGACTTATGAGAGTGTAATTACAATAAATCGATTTTGGATAACTTGTTATGCGGTGGAAAGGAGGAAGCTCTGCCTTAGTCAGAATTGGCCTTGCTATGGAGGCGACTAACTTTAAGGGTGAAGTAGAAGCTCTCTCCCAAATGTATCACTTTCACAAATATTGCACCACGGCGGAGCTGGACAAGAAATTTGGTAGGAGGGGAGAGAGGCAAATTGACAAAAGTGTTCTCGTTCTTGTAAGGAATTACTTTTATTAATAAGTATAAGCAAGTGGGGTGGGGGACACTTCACATGGTTTTTTGTAAGGGTAGATTGGTAAATACACAAGGTAAAAGTTTCCTATAAGGGAATTGATGAAATAAATATGAAACTTCCTAATAAGGTAAACAATGCAATATTTACGGGATGGAGGAAGTATAAGAATTTTGAGACTTTAAGAGACGGTGAATATGAATATGATTACAAGTATTTGCGTCATTTGATGTCAAAATTACATTCCTATCATGGGAAATGCCTCTTGTTGCGGGAACCTATTAACCTAATTTTGTGGGGAGGTGGGGGGGCATTGGATATCATCTGTGTCATAACATGTCTGAATCCATTGAGTCAAGATGCAAATAATTTAATGACTCATTTCAATGTAATCCTTTTAAAACTAAAGGCTAAATCCAAAATAATAAGTAAAATTTTGTTAACACTTTAGTTTTAAGTGTTTTTTAAAGTTTGGATTAAGTGAAGATTGTTACCCCGTGAACTTATTTTAGTGAACTGATTTATGCTGATTTAGGAAGATTCTTATACGAATTGATATTTGTTGAACTGGTACTGACTTATCAAGTTTTATTACTTAGATTTGTCTTTTGCTAGTTTTCATTTTTGTAATCATAATATTTGTTTGGAATCTTTATACATTTATATGTAAATGAAATCTAGAATTTGCTCGACAGATATTATATACTTCCTCCGTTTTTCTAATTTCAATGTTTGAAATTTTACTCTATTCATACACACTACTTTAATTGTCTTTTGTTATTTATATGTTTTAAGAAAATATAGTCTTGGGATCTTGTTAGATTCGTCCCGAAATATACTTTCATAATATCTACGTTTTATTATTTTTTTTTCTACAACACAACTTAAGGTATTTAAGTTATAAATGTGCATTAGCAAGCGTGAAATCCTCAACGTTGTGATTTAAAAACTGAAGGAATTATAAAAAAAATAAAATACCAATATTAATGTGGAATTTGGTCTAATTCTTATTGAGGTGTAAATTCAAATAATCAATAATTTTAAGGAAATTTTGTGAGAAAGCATTTTATATAACACACTTTTATAAGAAATACTTCCTCCGTTTTTTTTTTTGTCAGCTAGAGATGAGATTGCGTGGAGTTTTAGAATGTTTAATAAAATAAGATGTTAGTGAGATAGATAAGATTATTATTTTATTGAAAAGTAAAGTGGTGTGAGAGGGAGTGGGGACCATTGGAGGAGTGAGAATTGATAAAATAAGAAAGAGTGGGGATATTAGTGGGTAAAGATATAATTAAATTGTAAGAGATTTCCAAAAATAGAACTCTAGGTTATAAAAAAAAAAAGGACAAAAATAGTAACTCTAGCTTATAAAAAAAAACGGAGGGAGTAACAGTCTTATAAAATGCGCACCTTGATGGGATTTTGACTGCTAAATACCCCCCTCTTCTTCCTAATCATGTAGGTAAATCCATCAAGTCCGTACAACTCACATCACCTAAACCTAGGATATCGACTTAAAGGATAGTGACCCAAGTCAAGGGGAAATTTTTTTTCCAAATGACTTATTACAAACAATCTTAATTTGAAGGATTATGTAAACACAATGCTAATTCTTACACGGTTTTTACATGTATGGGCTTAAGACATTGTTTTAGTAGATTTGAAACTTCTGTTTGTTCTTTGGTAACATGCACTAATTTGTCAACGGATTCAATGTATTTAAAAAAAAAAAAAAAAAAAAGGCATTTTTGCTATTACAATGCCTCTTAACTTCAACATTATGATTTATAAATGCTTTGGAAGGTCTATCTAGAAGCTCCAATAGGAGGCAATGAGGCCAATGAACGCCCCCCAAACCCCCCCCCCCCCCACCTCCCTTTCTCCCAGCCTCCATTTATATACTTCTCTATATGTCCATTGCCTCATTATAAGGCTATGGAACCATGTATAGTCACAATCCTAAGTTGTTAACTATTGAGTGAAAAGGGTCGTAGAACATCTCATAGTTAATTTGAAATTTCTTTGACCTATTGATAATTGGGTTTATGCTTTATGAAAATCCAACCCATTTCACTTTACAACAGGACTGGGTGTCTTGTTTTGCACTAATTCCAGCTCCACATTTGTTCGAAGCCCTTTGGATTGAAGACCTGTAGGACTTGTATCAAAATTTGAATCTAAGATCTGTAGGACTTGTATCCAAATTCTCAGTCTAAATTTCTGATTAGATTTATTTTATCTTCATGCTCAGGCTATATGTTCACGTGCATCCTATGTCTCACCATTGAAACTAACCCATCTGCAAATCAGAATGAAAAGGATATAGAATCTTTGTCTTGCTCATGAAAACTGAAAAGCTGACTGCTTACATTATACCTCTTAGTAACTCCTAATCCTTGTAGATTTATTTTTCCAGATTTCAAAGCTTACTTGTACCCTTGTGGAACCAATTTCTATTTTAAACATCCTTGTGAATCAGTTTGAATTGTGATTTTATTCCCATAGGAGATTCCCATGGTAAGATGTGCAAAAGTATTGCAAAATTTGAGTTCATCTAAGAATAATTGGCCTTTAGTTAGGTTTTTATGCTCTCTGTATCTCTTTCTCTCCGAACAGTGGATGTCAATTTGGCTATGATCTCTGCACAATTGCCCTTAATAGCTTGATGCCAAGATCAGCATTTATGCATAATGAGTGAAAGTTGCTTTATCTATATAGAATAATTTTTGAGTGGAAAGACATTGCTGATCTAGTTATTGATGTGCTGTTAAATTGTGAACAGGTGAATGGAAGCCTCCTTCCAGCCTCAGTAATTTCTGTCTACTGTGCTTATGTGTGTTATACTGGTCTTTCTAGTGAACCTCGTGATTACATTTGCAATGGTCTACATAACAAATCCAAAGCTGTTTCCACAAGCACCCTTATCCTGGGATTGATCACAACCGTGCTCTCGGTCTTGTACTCAGCTGTTCGCGCTGGCTCATCAAAGGCATTTCTATCACCCCCCTCATCTCCAAGAGCAGGTATAAATACCCAAATGTATTCACAGAAATTCAATGCTTATGTACGCATGATTAGTTCTTGCGGGCTTATAAGTGTTTCTCAATCCTACAGTCACCTGGTCTTCTATGTTCTCTCATTGCTGTCTTACCTTCTGCTGACTAGAGTAAAATTTAACTGAATTCTGACACGTTCCTTGACTTTTCACCAATTCTTGAATTTGGTGCCATTGCAGGTGCTACTAGCCCTCTTCTGAGCCCAGACGACCCAGAAGCTGGTGAAAAAAAAGATTCGGAATTCCGTCCTGTCAGTTATTCATACACTTTCTTTCATCTGATATTTGCCCTTGCTAGCATGTACTCAGCCATGCTTCTCTCGGGATGGACCAGCTCATCGGACAGCGCAGATCTAATTGATGTTGGTTGGGCTTCTGTCTGGGTGAAAATCTGCACAGAATGGGTGACTGCAGGACTTTACATTTGGTCTCTTTTGGCACCTATACTGATGCCAGATCGTGAATTTTTTAGTTAATTTGTGAGAATTATGTTCTCAATTCTTATATAGCTCACCATGCCTATCAATAGCTCGATTCTCAAACTTTCATACCAATGACTTTGGCTTTCGGAACTTGAGATAGGTAAGAAAGCATGTACAGTGTTTAGGTCAAGCTTGTGTAATTATGCTCTCTCTTAGACCTCAAATGTTAAAACTATCCAGTAGAGCAAATCTTAGACCTCTAATAACGATATGTGTATAAATCTAGTGTGTAAGGAATGTGGTTTGGTTCTTAAAATTTTGAATGAAAATATTTAGACAATTTATATATTGACAATGACAAGTATGGGTTGCCAGGTGACAGACGTATGGAATGAATGAAATTTGGTTCAATTTGTATAAGAGTTGTATTCGTGTATCAGGAATCAAAATGTTCATACCATATGAACTAACTGTGGCTTATTTATTTTTCTATGGTTTTCCTTCTGTCTTAAAAGATTCCTAACACAATCCACTAACATGGTCAAGAATCACACCATAATTGTTATTTATTTATTGTTGGATAACGAGACACATAAAAAAACATTGTAAGATGGAGAAGTTCAACATCAATAGAATCGCTCTATTTATATATTTTTTTCCACGATAGTGACAAGATGAAGATTCATAGTCATAATGTACTACAAAGTATGATTTTGGTAAAAATTTGATTCCAAACCACCAACCTGGCAATCCAAACTTGTCATTGTCAATATGAACGGTTGACTCACATCATCAAGGAGATAGAAGGGTTTAACAACGCGAGAAACTCCCCGGTTATGTCCTTGATTAACATTCAGGTGAATATAATAATACGCAGCAATCGTTGTTATAGAGAGTGATAATGTCAGGGTTCTCTTGGATGACAAAGAAGTCAGCTAGGATCGTCTATTGTGGCCTCTTTACTGGCTTTATTGTTCTCTCCTTGATTCTTTCACAAGTTTCTGCTCCCTTGATGCAGATTTTACCTTGTATGTTTTTTACTGTCTTATTTACTTTTATCTTAATTGTTCATAAGTTTGTGAATATTTTTGTGATATATGGGATTCATTCATTAATTTTTTGGGTTTAAATCCTCAGCTCTTTTTGTTTGTTCAACTGTCTTTCTTTGCTTCTTTGGTTATTATGATGCTTGTGAGTTGGGTATAGGAGGAAGTAGTTTATGGAAGATCAATCGAATCTGTTCATAATGATTGCAACTGTGCCTGAGTAAATGCAGTTGGAATTTTTACAACTCCCTCTGTCCCTTGTCGCATTAATCCACTATAAGGATAGTTCTGCAATGTGTTAGCTCTCTTCTCATTATATTCTTTTTGGGAGCTATTGCTTTGATCATCTAGTGAGTCCAAATGGGCGGCGACTTGGAATGTTTGTTACTTTGATGTTCCTAGGACTTCAACCTTTTCCTGGAGTACAAGGATTTAATGTTATCATGTAGTATGCATTCTGATGTTTTAGTCCATTTCGGCCATCCAACAACGTTTATCATATGAGTGATGTGTTCTTTCATCACCCCTCTCTGAACTCACAGCATCGGACAGCAAAAGTGAATAAAACAGCTAGCGAGATACTTGAGTTTCTTCTATGAGGACAAACGTTGTGAGACATATCATTATCTAACATTGTTAACTTGATTTGACCTTGAATCATCACACAAAGGAGTGTTACCAGATAAGTGCAATTCCTCGGTTCAGTTTGGGGAATTTTCTTTTTTTCACAGTGCTTGCCTTGATAGTGAGTGTTATGAATGTTCAAAATGACCAACCTGATTCATGGCATCATGAACGATGGACAATGAAGATAATTATCTGGCTTTTACTGATCATTTTTATGTTTTTGTTCCCAAACATTATTATAGATGTGTACGGTAAGCTCTCTGTGTTGCTCGATTTCTCATAATAAACATACATTAGCTACAATTTCAATTCATTGTGCTTCTATTATTATCGCAGTAAGTTTACTGCTCCATTTCCATTGAAGTAAACTTTCAGTTTGGGGAATTTTCTTTTTGCCCTTCCTATAGAACATTTTGTAAGAAATACTTAAGAAATTTAATGCGGAAATAAACCTTAAGTCTAGAATCAATTGATACATTACATACCATTAGATGAGCTTGAAGCCATGATTGTACCTTTGGTTGGATAAACCTTGATAGGGAAGAAAAACAATACCAAACCCTTCTCCTCTCTCTCTAACTTAATTACTGGATGTTTTTTTATTTGTGTCCTTAGTGATGGAATGAAAACAAAATTAAAGTTAGTTTCTAAAAGAAGACATAACCCTTATATATATATATATATATATATATATATATATATATATATATATATATAGTCCAGTTGTCCTTAATAGAGGAGAGCAGAGAGCCAAATAAATAATTATTCGGCTAAGTAATCCAATCCATCAAAGGACACTTATCTTTTATACAGTATTGATTTAATATGAGCATTTCTATAATTGGATATATGTATAAACTTAAATAGTGGGATTTAATTAATTAAAACAATAGATTAGTGGGTCACCACTTGACACGTAATGTGGAAATTACATTCTCCCACTTGGACCGCTAAATCGATTATGAAAAACTTACATTATATATAAATATAAATATATGTAATATATAAACACATATTTCAAAAAATATCTTTAACACATGATCACGATTACAATAATACATATCCAACATACTCAAAAATAATATAATTACACTAATATTGAAGTTAGCACAAACGATTAGCATAAGTCATGGCGGTTACGCAGCAACAAAAAAAAAACGCCACGTTTCCTTCCATGTACTACATACTAATAATCCATACTAATTCAACCTTTTAATACTATAATGGCCCCTGTAATATGTCTTGTCATGACAATTCTTGTTTTTTACAGAACATAATGTATACATTAACAAGAATAAGCAAAAACAAAATTCAATTGCGCAAAATGTCAATTAGTACCACTATCAATATACATTTATGGATTTCCCAAAAGGCCCATCCTTATAACATGTTCTAAGTATGCCTTTGGTGATAATCCTTTAGTGAGTGGATTGGCTATCATAAATGTGGTACTTATATTTTGAATTGACACTTGTTGTTTTTGGACTCTTTCTCTAACGACCAAGTACTTTAAATCCATGGCCTTCGACCCACTCGAAAATTTACCATTCTTCGAGAAGAATACAGCTGCGGTGTTATCACAAAATATTTTCAGCGGCTTGGCAATAGAATCGACAACACCAAGCCCTGAAATAAAATTCCGCAACCATAATGCATGATTTGAGGCTTCAAAACAAGCAATAAATTCGGCTTCCATCGTAGAAGAAGCAATAATGGACTGCTTCTTACTTTGCCATGAGTTGCCCCATTTGCTAGCATAAAAACAAACCCAGATGTTGATTTCTTGCTATCGGAACAACCACGATAATCGGAATCCGAATAACCAACAACCTCTAATGTTTGTGACCTTTTATATGTGAGCATGTAATCCTTAGTTCCTTGAAGATACCTCATAATTTTCTTTGCAGCTTTCTAGTGTTCAAATCCTGGATCACTTTGGTATATTCCTAACATCCTAACAGCAAAACTAATGTCAGGTCTGGTGCATGTTTGAGCATACATCAAACTCCCAACTGCCGATGCGTAAGGAATTTTCCTCATTTGTTCCCTTTACATTTCATTCTTTGGGCACATCAATTTACTTAATTTGTCACCTTTAACAATAGGTGCAATACCTTTTGAACAAGACTGCATGTCATATCTTTCTAAAACTCGATCAATATATCCTTTTTGAGACAAACCTAGCAATCCTCGAGATCGATCCCTAAATATCTCGATGCCAATAACATACTTTGCCTCACCCATATCAACCATCGAAAAGTTTTTAGAAAGATATTCCTTGGTTTCACGTAACAAACCAAGATCACTACTAGCTAGCAAAATATCATCCACATATAGTATCAAAAATATAAACTTGCTCCCACTAATCTTAAGGTATATACATTGGTCAACAATGTTTTCCTTAAATCCAAAAGATGTAATGGTATCGTTAAACTTAATATACCATTGTCGGGAAGCTTGTTTAAGACCATAAATGGATTTCTTTAATTTGCAAACTAGATGTGCACTGTCCTTACTTGTGAACCCTTCAGGTTGTATCATATAGATATCCTCATCCAAATTCCCATTTAAAAAAGCAGTTTTCACATCCATTTGATGTAGCTCCAAATCAAAATGAGCAACAAGTGCCATGATGATTCTAAGTGAATCCTTCTTGGAAACAGGGGAAAAAGTATCGCTGTAATCGATACCTTCCTTTTGAGTGAAACCTTTGGCCACAAGTCTAGCCTTAAATAATTCGATATTTCCTTTAGCGTCGCGTTTGGTCTTGAAGACCCACTTACAACCGACGGGTTTACATTTACAAGGCAATTCAACGAGATCCCAAACATCATTATGGGCCATAGATTTCAACTCATCTTTCATAGCTTCCAACCATTTATCAGAATCAATACTTTCCATGGCTTGTGAAAACGAAACCGGATCCTTTCTTATCCCAATATCAAAGTCAGATTCTTGTAGATACACCACATAATCATCTGAAATGGCAGATTTTCTTTCCCTTTGAGATCTCCTCAAAGCTGCCGGTTGTGGTGGTTCTACATCATTTTCAATGGAAATATTTTCCGGTGGTAATGAACTATCTCCATCATGTTGCTCATGATCCTCAAAAAAAACATAAGGTTGAGGAGCAACAATTTCCATAGGTAGAAAGGGTGGTGGGGTATCCACTCTTATCTCCTCAATTTCAACTTTTCTTAGTTCATTACTCCCACTATTCTCGCCATTCTCTAAGAATCTAGCATTTTCGGTTTCAACAATTCTCGCACTATGGTTAGGACAATAAAATCTGTAACCTTTCGATTTATCTGGATAACCAATGAAATATCCAGATACCGTTCTCGAATCAAGTTTCTTTTCATGAGGGTTATATATTCTAGCCTCCGCTGGACAACCCCATATATGCATATGTCTTAAACTCGGTTTCCTACCAGTCCATAACTCAAAAGGAGTCTTTGGAACAGCTTTACTAGGAACTCGATTTAAAATATACATTGCGGTCTTTAAGGCTTCACCCCATAAAGAAACAGGTACAGTAGAGTAACTCATCATACTCCTAACCATTTCCATTAATGTACGATTACGCCTTTCAGCAACACCATTCTGCTGAGGCGTTCCTGGCATTGTATACTGTGCACAAATGCCATGCTTTTCAAGGAATTTGGCAAAAGGTCCAGGATTTTGTTCTGACTCATCATATCTACCA